AGAAATATAGACAGATACTGGTTAATCAAAGTAGGCTGAAGCATTTTAACGATTTTTTATACCAAGGGTCCCAATGTGTGCCAAGAAAATATTCCCCATACCATTACACCAGCAGTAGCAGCAGCCTGAATGATTGATGCAAGTCAGGATTCATACTGCCATGTTGTTTTTGCTAAATCATGATCTTACCATCTGAATGGCACCACAGATATCGCGACTCATCTGACCAATCAACGTTTTTCCAATTTTCTAATGCTCAATTTTTGGGGTCCTTAGAAAATTGTTGCCTCAGTTACTTGTTCTTATCTGACAAAAGTCACATCTAGCGTGATCTTCTGATGCTGTAGCGTAACTGCTTCAAGGTTCAATGCTCTTCTGTATGACTCCATTATAAAGACTGATTATTTGAGCTACTGTTGCCTTTCTATCAACTTGGATCAGTTTGGCCATTCTCCGCCAACCACTTTCATCAACAAGGGATCTCCGACTACATAATTGCATGTCTTCTTTTCCTGAGCATTCTTTATAAAAACCAAGAGGTTTACATGAAAATCCAAGCAGATCACCAGTTTTTGAAATACCGACGACCATGCTGCGTTCAAATTCACTTAAGTCACCTTTCTAATGCATGAAATGAAATTCAGCAGATCACCTTATTTAAATAGCTATATCCATTAAACTACCGCCGTTTTTTCTTCTTAGAAATTTACACAAAAGATGTACTTAATTAAATGGCCAGTTAGTGTATATGATGTTCTAGGTAATTGTGAAAAAATTATAATATATCGGAAAATACTAACATTATTTAGATTATACGGACTGTTATCCTCATTTTCATTTCCATATTCACAACGTTGCGCCGTTGTACGCTCCGGCCTTCTTCAGGTGATTGGAATTGCGAACACTTTATTTCGTCCACAGGGGTAGATTGTTCTAATGGCTCTCAGTTATTTCTCTTGCAAAGTTTTGGTTCACCACTGCTGTAGCCTGGAATTGAACTTACAACACTTTAGGTCTAGTCACTAGATATATCCAGCACCTTTATCCACTAAGCCAGGTGCCCTTGAGGGATATGAATTTCTGGGACTTTTCAGCCTCATTTTTTTACCAGTTCTCATATTACAATTTTTTCTGTTATTATTATTGCATAATTTTTACTAGAGCTTATATTGCAATTTTCTTTGCGTTGTTATTCATTGCTTTTCTCTAGCACATCTTATGACTGGTTCCCATATTGTATTCATTTTTATGCTTGGTCGGCTCAGGAGATTTTTCTTGTCTAGCATATGTGCTGATTCCTTAAGTTTTCGTATTTTTCAGTGATGTTCCGTGTCTGTCAGAAAAAAAACATTAAGCCAAAAAATAGTATATTTAATATTCAATGTAAATACGCTCAACTGCCCTTAAGAACATGACTGGGTGTCTTGATCAAGTGATTTTCATTCGTGTTAACGATCAGGTTCAGTAACTGATTCTAAGGAGAGAGAAGTGATATTGATAAAGATAATTGAAGTTTTAGTCACTAAGAATAAAAGCAAATGTCGTAACCGACTGAGTAATGACTTTAGCCAAAGAGAAATGTTGAGGCATACAGAAATTTTGCACCTGACAACTCGAACGACAAGAGAATGATTAAAATCTACCTAAATTATCACATGACCTGGTATATCATCAGAGGACTATGCCGAAACTTTTGTGGTATTTATCACGATAATGGCTGTTACTTGGCGATGTCCAGAGAATGACATTCTGAATATAATTGACCTAAAGCGAAAAGTTTTTTTTCACTATAATCTGACTGTAAACTGCTGATGAAAAGGAAAAAGTAATTTTATATCCCAGATTGTTGGGATGAACAAAAGCGAATGAAAATAAAAGAGAAATGTATTCTAACACATCGTAAAACAACTTTCATTCATTTATTGCCTGTGAATAGCAAGGATTAGTTTGGATTTAAACCATGAATTCCAGGTGCCTATCAGCTTGGCGCCATTTTGAATTCAGAAGTACCGCGCTGATCTCCCAGACACGGGAAGTAACTCAATTATATTTTGATTATTTGTCTTTTATAGAGGAAATAAATTATCATCCTCTAACAAATAACCTTCCTTTTTTCTTTCTTTAATCTTCTGTTATATTCGTAGCGTTTTTCAATAAGTGGCATTTGAACACGTGATTTCGTTTCACACGTGGCTGAAATTGATGACATTATACATATTCTGAAAATAAACTTTCAACGCGCTATACGACTCGTTTGTGGTTTTGTGAATCTTAAATGTTTTTACGTTAAAGATGAAAAAGAAGGAAAATATAATGCATTTTCATTATTTGATGCTTTTTTATTTCCAGACAGCAAGAAAGATATGTGCCGTTTATGGAGATGGTGCCATAGCTGATAGTACTGTTTATAAGAGGTTCGCTCGGTTCAGAAATTAAGATTTTGAATTGGTGCATCGAGAATGTTTGTCAGGCAACTTGATTATAAATAAACCATATCACACGACACGGGACTTCGCAGAAGATACTCCACATCTCTCATATAAGTCATTTGAAAACACTTAGGTACATGAATTTGTACGATGTTTGATGGCCTAATGATTAAATTGAAAAAATGTATTGGACCGCATTTCCATCTAAGATTCTCTGCTGAAGCACAACAAAACGACCTTTTTTATAAAAAGAATGATGTCATACAATGAAAAGTGGACTGTTTACAACAATGTGGAGCAAAAAAAAGAACCTGGAAAAGTAAAATAAGCCACGGTTGACCAGCCCAAAATTCGGTTGACATTCGAAGAAAGTGATACTATGTATCTGGTAGTATTGGAAATGCATTCTCTATTACGCGTTTCTTGAATTCAGACAAATACTCTTCCCAATTGAATCAATTAAAGGCAGCTATCGTTAAAAAAAAGATCCAAAATTGCTCAGTCGGGAGAGTGTCGTCTTCCATCTGGATAATGCCATCTCTTTACAGACAAGGTAGAAATTGGTACAGCTTTGCTGGGATGTCCTACAACACCAGCCATAATCAACTTCAGATTACTAATTGTTTCGATCCATACAAAATTCTCTTAATGGGAAAAATTTTAATTCTATCGAAGCTTGTAAAAGCCACTTCGATCAGTTGAAGATTCAAAAAAATGCTATGGTTTGGGAGACTGGAATCATAAAACTGCCATAAAGTGGAAGAAGGTAGTGATGTAAAATGGCGAATATGTGGTTGGATAAATCTATGGACACATATCTAAATATGGCCTTTGAAATTCAATTAATCAAACGTTACGAACTTTTGTACCGGCTCAATATTTCACGTGATTCAATTGATCTTTTCCACATTTGCTAATTTAATTCCTATCCACATTATATATATATATATATATATATATATATATATATATATATATAGAGAGAGAGAGAGAGGGAGGGAGGGTGAGAGAGAGAAAAGTGAGTGAGTACATCTGTTCGCATACCTGCAATGTTGCCAACTTGATTAGAGATCTGCTTTTGTCAACATAATTTCTTGGAATGTCGGACACGTATTCTGTTTGTTGTGTGAACTAGTATTGAATGAAAAGTTATTTTTTCAGGTCGAAAGTACAAGAAGAAGAATGCTGTGGATACTGTTGAGATCGATGTGACTCATAAAAACTGACAATCACAATTGATCACATTCACTACCATCATCATCATGACTTTATACAACTTCTACGCATATTTACTAAGCATCAGTTTCTATGGTACACGTCTACTTAGTAATTAAGACAACTTACTTCAAAACAATATCAGAAAGTTCTCAGGTGTGACTACACCTTTAAGTGATTATAATTCGGCCTAATGCAATATCGTCTTCCTCTTTACCATGGAGTGTAAGGCCACTAGTGTTGTTGCTGTAATTTCCGTAGTAAGTCGCCTGAAATTAGGAGCTACCAGCCCCAAACCCAACTGGTTTTGAATTCAGAGTAGTCCTTCTTCTACAACTTCTAGATAGCCTAATTTGCATTTCTATTTAACCCATAGCAGGAGTGAGAAGAAATGGGTATTCGAGAGTATTTGTGCGAAAGTGAACTCAGGATTTGAACTCGACATGCACATCCAGAAATATACGCGCGCGCATTATACATACATATTTATATTGATGTTTCATTAAATAAGGTACAAATGCGAAAACCTTTATAAATTTTACATATTTCGCTATTTTTATTATAACTCCATCAGATATCTTTGGCGGAATGAGAAAAGAAGTTTTCGCTATTTTGAATTCTATGCTGTTTGTTTTCATTGGTTGAGTAGATATCACGTGTTCATATTTTGTAGCGTTAGTGTGGGGGGGCGTTTTTGTATATATCTCGTAGTGTCTGTGTGTGTGTGCGTGTCTACTCCCTGAAAACGATAGGGAGAATAAATGAGATGTATATGTGTCTTAAATTCTGATATTTATATAGTCAAATCAGTGCTAAAAACAACCATCCATTAATAAAAACAGTTCTAACTTAAGAGCCTGCATCCTTAAATGTATATAAAAAGAAAACGAACACATCACACCTCGCTTACGTCACAACACTCTTTGCCTACGTCATGACACTTCTTAGTTCTACGAAACAACCAGGAAGTAGATGAAAAGATACTTTTAATAATAGTAACTATAAGCAAAATGTTTGTTTTTGGAGGGGTTTTTTGTTTTGTTTTCTTGGAGGTTTTTTGGGGGTTTTTTTTTTGGGGGGATTTTTTTATGTTTTTTTTTTTTTTCGTCTTCTTGCTATCCTCTTCCAGTCGCAACAATGGCGAAAGCAGTACCTCGCAGTGAGACACGCTGCAAGAGCCACTCCGTTTCACTCAGGATTTCTTAAACTAGACACAGGCTGGAGGCAGGTAAAGCTCCCTTTGAGTTTCGTAGGCCTGGGCCTTCGATCATCGGCAGGCTTGGTCATGCCAACATATCTTTTTTCACTTTCTTCCAGTCGTGAATTAATTGATGAAATACTCAGTGGATCGTCTCAATGTTTTTTCGGGTAGCTCTTTTGAACAAGCATACGGCGTCTGGACCCAAGAATTACTTTCTATCCCACAATACACATCAATATAGAAAAGCTGGGATAAAATCAAATGCGAAGCTAATTTTACTAATTTTGGGCTCTCTCTGGATCAGCACTGCCTCGCCTGTCTACTATCTACTTCACAACCGAGTAGTGACACCTGGCTCAACGCAGTGCCCTCCTCATCTACCGGCACCCTTCTGGCTGTATCTCAGTTGTTCCGTTGTTTAAATCTCTTTAGATTAGTGTTTGCCCTAACTGTAAATTTAGCTTTTCGATTAAAATACAAAATAAATAATAAAATAGATGTATATTTTCCTCAGTTTCTTCTTTAAATTATTTTATATTTTAAATTTAATACAGGTTAAATTTAAAATTGGTAATTTTTAATTTAATTTTATAGTAAAATTTAAAATTAATCAGTTAGAATGATTTCTATTTTAGTCTAATAATGAGATTAAGGCATTTATTATTATAACCAAGGTTCGTTGTCAAGTTTTTTGAATTCTCATATAATTGTATTTTGATTGGTCATTACAGATTATGTAATAGCGTTTACCCTATTGAGGGCTGTTTGGTTGGTTTGAACCTTTTAAAACTCTATTCTACATTCAACACCACCACGTGATAAGACACCAAAAGTGTTGAAACAAAATGGCTATTTTTGTAGTGATTCTGTAACATGTTTATGCTATATTTTTTGAATGAATAATATTTGCTCTACTCTGTATAGAGCACTTTTAAGAACGGTGTTTTTGGTTACTGGAATTTTATTCCGTCCCAAAAATCCTTTACTTATATATATATATATATATATTCCTTCGTCCCATCTCTCTCCCCCACCCTTTCTTTTTTTTTTTTTTTCCCCTTCCTATCCGAATTGTCTGTGGTGTGTATATGTCACCACGAAATGTATCTTTATGTATTAGACATCCGTCGACTTTCTTTCTCTCTTTTAAATCCACCCACCCACATCTCCAAAAATTCTCTCTGTTAAGGTTTCATGTCACCCTCCTCATACTTACACTTTCTCTCTAAATTCTGTTTTGATTTCCGGAGTTGTTTTTTCTGTTTTCATTTTGAATTTGTAGGTCTGATGATTTGGATCGTATTTACGATTCCAATGGAATAAATTATGACCATGGAATATTAGTGTTTAAGCCTTTTTATTATATCCTTACTCTGTCCTAGACATTGAGTTCTACCTGGATCCTTCCTCTTGGAAAATTTTTTTTTGAAAATATACATGAAAATATACATGTATAGGGAATTTTTTAGATATATTTTTCATATGTATGTATATTTTCCACTACATATGTTTCTATATATATATATATATATATATATATATATATATATATATATATATACTCAAGTGGAATCTCTCGGCGCGCACGACAAATGAGGGCTCAGCAAAATTAAGAGGTGCTCAATTTCTGTTGACACATGTGTCTCCGGAGACCTGCAGGTGTTTTGTAAACCTTTAGGTAGATGGGACATACGATTGAGCCATTTTGCTCGAGTAGTTGACGATCAATTGCCGCATGTTTCCGTGAGTTGACTTCAAACCTTGCTTTACTGCATGCGACAGCGCCACCTGTAGTAGGTAAGTCTGCCATTGAGAGGAACAGCATGCTGCCAGCTTTCTTCAATATTTGCACGTAGTTGATCCCGATGTTTAAGTCGACTCTACTCGAACCTTTGTATTGATGAGAAGTTTTCTGATGTTTTGTTTTCACGAGAATAAAAGAGGATAGTGCATCGCTTCAGACTGTCTTTAAAATGTTTGCCTTTAAAATGTAAAAGTGGCCTTCCAACCGACCTGTTTAATAGAAGCTGGCCTAAGAGAAGTCTGTTATCGCTCATACGAGAAATATGTCCTGCTCACCGAAGTTTGATTTTCATAAAGATGGCTTCAAAACCTGTCATGGTGTCAGAACTTTACTGTTTTTAATGTGATCACCCAGTTTTATGTAGTAGATGGCACGTAGACAACACATGTGGAAGACATCAAGTTGGTTGATGTGTCATCGGTACAGAATCCAAGATTCTGCACCATAGAGTAAGGATGTCAGTTCTACTGAGTTGTACAATTCAATTTTCTCCTTTAACGAAATATCACGAGTATTCCAAAGCCTTTCATAAAGATCACCGAAGACAGAACTAGTCTTTCCAACCCAGCACTCAATTTCTTTCCTTATTTTAGCATCGCTTGATACAATGGTGCCAAGATAGGTGAAAGAAGAAACGGTTTTCAAGACTTTTCCTTCAACATAAACAGTGGGAGATCAACAACTGGGGGATAATAACAGATAGGCTGATGGACAAGTTCCGTTTTTTACGCTGATGATCAGATCGAAAGCTTTTGATGCAGGAGAAAATTTGTTAACGACCCATTGCATATCCTCAAGGGTGTGGGCTACAAGTGCGCAAAGAGTAGGTCACGAACACTTTGTACAATCGTCTTAGTTCTTGCTTTGTAGCGTTGTTGGTTGAACACAACACTAGTCATAAACTCAAATCTCACACCTTCCTTAGCATTTTCAAAAAAAAAAAATACAAAGATAGTTGCAAGCTTAATTACACCTCTCTCTCTCTCTCTCTCTCTCTCTCTCTCTCTCTCTCTCTATCTATCTATCTATCTATCTATCGTTACTTTTCTGTGTCTCGCAACCTTTCATTTACGGAAAGCCTCAGGCCTACTTTCGGCTACTGATGTTCTTTCATTTACTGCTTAACAGCCTTACAGTTTATTGACTAAAATTTATTAAAGGCAATATTAACCATTGATTTCAACAATACGTTATCGAACGTGGATTTTTCATAACGTATTTTACAGTTTGCTCCATGAAAAGCTACCAAACTCCTTCTGCGACAAAGTAGTTGATAATACAAATATAATAGCCTCATCCACATATAGAAAAAGGATAAAAAATAATGGAAACATTATTAATAAAAAACAAAACAAAAGGCAAACACTCAATATCAACTATGAACACGGCGATTTGCTGACCGTGTATCGAAATAAAGCATTCCTATATCTCTAGATACTTACACAAAACAATCCATGCATTCAGTTAAAAGTAAAAATAAAATAAGAGTATAGCCGGAGATGCAAAACATTTAGACAACTGCTTGTTGATTTACGTCCAGAACATAAAATAATATTATAAGAACACAAGAAAAATTAAACAAAAAACTTAACCGAATAAAATACAAGTACACCAGTTTATGTAACAAGTACATAAAGGAACAGAATACATTCGTACATGCAAAAATACATCTGTACACATGAAGAGGCATGCAAAGCAGAAAATCAACAATAATATATGCTAGTTTCTTTTTCGGGGAGGGAAAGTACAAAAACTGTCCGTAAACTTTGGAAGTTAAATAATCTGCGTACTTATGCGTCCATCGTCAGTCGAAACATCTCGGCTCTTTTAATTAAATTCAGAAAGAAGCCAGAGAAACCTGGGAGTTTCCACAAGTATAATCCTCAGCTTAAAAAATAAATTTAAAAAGTAAACGGAGAGAAAAGTAATAAAGATTAATCCAGCTTTGGTGCAAAGCTGCTGTACGGCGATAGAAGATGGGATTATCTCAGAGATTTATCTTTCTAAACTCCTCCATCTTCTGCTTTCTTCAATTCGTCGTCAGCCATTTTGAAAATGAAAAACGTCTCTGGGTGCGTTTACCACAAAACTTGTCTTTAATGTTTTTTCGTTCTTTGTTTTTGGGGGAGTTATTTTTTTTGTTGTTGTTTTGTTTTTTTGTTTTTTGGCTTTTTTTTTTTTCTTTTGGATTTATTTGTTCGCTGCTGTCGAGAGTCTCCGAATCAAGCTGATGTTTATGGATAACTTTTTGGTCGTTACTTTACTGTTTCATTGCTATTAAGTATTCGGGCGATTGCTATTATTCAATCGCCTTTTTTTGTCTTTGGCTTCTGATTACACTTCAAAGCCTACAGGAAAATCGAGGTTTTATGTCTTTATTGTCATACACTATGCATGGTCTGTCATCTTGAACTGGTTTTCGTCGCGTTAACTTCTGACCAGAGATTCACAGTTTCTTAGGAAGTATAAACACACACACACATGTGATATTTATGAATTCTTAATAGATTTTGATTGGTTGAAATTGATCAGACAAGTTAAATAAGTAATTCCATAGAAACGAAAAGGAGAGAATAGTTAAATATAATCTGATAAAAATCTTTATCGTTAATTAAAAATTAAAAATGGTTGACAATACTTCCTCTTCATTAAATATTGTTGCTACTGATGCTAATAAAAAAATATTGTTTTTTACAATATGGCTCCGAGAAAGCTGGGAAAGGGTTGTGCATTACTTTCCGACAAATTAATTTACTGTAATAATTTGAATAGAAATCAATCCCAAATTTATACTGGTTAATTTATATTTTCGAAATCTGTTCATAATTTGTGCGTGTTGCTTTCTGTTATATATATATATATATATATATATATATATATATATATAGCATTAGATGGCAACCAGTCTAGGATAAGGACAACTCTGAATTCAAAACCTGAGGAGGGTCGTTTGGGGACCTTAGAGCACGCTTTGTACATTAGGTCTCTGTATTTGGCTCTTCCAAAACGTACGATCGGTTCCGCACATGACTTCACCCCTAAAATAAAATCGTATGTGTGGGCAGTCTGTCTGTTTGGTTCTAAGAACTCGGCTTCTGGGTCCTCATACTTCGAAAAACGACGGGAGAGTCCTCCATATATATATATATATATATATATATATATAGATATATAGGCATATCCTAAGTATGTATATATACCAATGATATAGCTAGGATGCGATACTTAGGATATAATAGCTTTAGAAACAGATACAATTCATACCTGGAAGAAAAAATTCAAATAATTAAATACAAGCTAGTTATTGAACCAGAGAAATGAAATCTTATTTAAATGTTGCCATAAAAATATATTTAAATTGTCTTAAGAATAGACATTTATTTTGCAATTTAAACACTAAAATATATGTTTAGATTTGTAACTATGTATATTTATATGCGTGTATATATATATATATATATATATATATATATATATATATATATATATATATATATATTTCTACAATCTTATATATATATATATTATATTCTACAATCTTTTATATATATATATATATATATATATATATATATATATATATATATATATATATATATATATATGTATGTATGTATAAAATTTCTGTGTAGGCAGATATTTCGTTATTTCTCCGTATGCATAGTATACCCTAAGTATTTAATAGATTCAATTTAAGTTTCGGGTTAGTACCAAAAATAGAAAGAATTCTTTTCTTTAAAATCCTGTGACCAATATGCACTTTTGCGTGTCATTATATATATATATATATATATATATATATACAGTAATTATTTGGATTTATCTGGCACTATTATCTATTTCGACATGTTTTATAATTTCACTGACTATTAATACTCGTCCAAAACACTACTCTACCACCCATAGTTTTCTTTTAAATCTTGTTAGCTGATTATGTCTATAAAGGATCCAAATTCTAGCACATATGTCACATTCATCCAATGTAGGTCTATATTCATTACTAAAAATTACAGTTAAGAAATCAGTTTTCAAGTACTTCTTCGCACAAATTATATGATTCTCTGTCATGTGGATTTAAATGTCGCAGTTTAATTGTTTTCACATATGTAGCCAAATCTATTAATATTCTAGGGTTTTTTTTCCAATCTACATTCACAACACCAGCTTTTTCAAACATTTTCTTGTACATCTATCCGCTTCTTTATAAAACTTTTCATTTTTCTGAAATCTATTTTTTGAGAACCTGTTCTGTTTTTTCATCCTTATCGTCCCAATTTCTTCATTTTTTTCTGAGATCTCCGTCCAACTCCACTCACATTCTCCAGCATTGGTTTCCCATAAATCGATAACTTTACAATCACTTTTGAACTTAAAGTTTTCTTACAACTAATGCTTACCTTTATATATCTAAAATAAAAACTAAATTTCAATAACGATTTTTATGTATAACCTCCCAATATAAACATCCCTGAAGTTTTCATAATAAAAACCCACATCATCAAATCATCTTATTGGAACTCTTTCTAATTAAAACAGATAAGCAAAAACTTACATAATATATATATATATATATATATATATATATATATATATATAAGGATGTGTGTGTGTGTGTGTGTGTGTGTGTGTGTGTGTGTGTGTGTGTGTGTGTGTGTGTGTAACGAATGCACGGCCGAAATTTTCGACGGAATTGCACATGCTCCAAGTTAGCAGGAAGGCCAAGACCGACTTTGCATTTCCCAACTCCCATCGATAGTGGAAATAATCGATTTTTTCATACTTCTACGGCAGTTTTCATGTAGTTTGCGACCATTTTCTACTGGCCAGAGTGAGAGCCTATAGCTGGCTGCCACGAATAGGCAGGAAGATTCTATTGGCCAGCGTGAGTGCCAACAGCTGACTGACACGAATGCAAAAATAAATCGATAGCTGCATTCGTCACAAGTGGGAAAAATTTAAATCTGCATGGCACTTTACTCCAATTGGCTCATTCGCTTGGTTAAACTCAACGTTGATTCTGATTCCGCAGAACTGGGTTGGGTGTGAAAAAGTATTTGTTGTTAACATTCTTTTTTCATTCAGTTTTTCCAGTTACGAGTCGTTTTTTAAAGCTGATCGTTTTGTGTTCATTTTGTTTAGTTCTTTTTTCGTAACAGATTTAATGTTTAGTATAGAGCTTAGAAAAAATTCGCAGTGTGAGATAGGCAAAAAGTAAGGCATGTAGCAACATCAGCACGGCAAAGGTTACTCCTTTAAAGGCAAGGAAAGGCAAAAATATTTTAAGTCAAGTGATAGCGATTGCTGTATGAGTTGTACGATTTTTTAATCAAGCACGGGCAACGCTGGGCCATGCTGCTAGTTTATCATAAAACTATATTATGAAATATGTACCAGCATCAATGAAAAAGCATTGTTGTGATAATCGCGCACGAAATATTGTAATGAAAATTCTTTGGGATTTATAGTAGCACAAAATAGGGTGCCCATGCCGGTACAATCTTCACCACAGCCCTAGCTCTTTGCTACTCCACAGTAGAATATACCTCACCGGTGTGGGGCATATCATTACACGAAAATCAACCTTTCCTTAAACACCTCTTGCAGATCGATCAATGGGTGTCTCAAGTCAACCTCTACTTGCTTAGTGGCATTGCTTCCTCTTACATAAGACGAATAGTCCACTCCCAACTCGAGAAGTTGAAGCAGGAAACTGACCCTCGTCATCCACTCCACGGCAAAGAGGCTCAAGACATATTTTACACTCAGCCGACCCATTGAACAACAGATCTCCTAGTCAGCGTTTTTCCTTGTGGTGCAGCCACCTTACCAACATGTTCTCTCTCAGCCCTACAGAATCCCTACACGCTGTCTCCAGCGATATCTGGCCCTTCTGGTCCTGTTTAAATAGCCGCTGAACAGTTGTTGGTCGCTGTAGAGCTAACCTTGAGAAATGAAGGATTATGCCACCGATGTTTATCCCAACTGCCAATGCGGGCAATCACAAATGATGGATCATCATCTAGTTTGTCTTGAAGATCCATGCACACTTAAGGACCGTAAAAATTGACACCCCAGGCAATTCTCTGTGTGCAACACTGAATGAACTACCAGTGTTATACCAGTGG